TTATAAAATTCAATCCGATTGTAACCTCCTAAGAGGAAAGTTGTATATTAAAATAAATAAACCATTTTTTTAAAAGCTCCTCTCCTGGCAGCACGACATAACTCGCGTTTATAAATAATGTTAATAACGTCTTCTCATTAGCTGTTTCTAGCCAGCACGATTTATTATTTAAGTACACATTATGCCAATTAGAAGGTAAAGCAGAAGCTGCATGTTCAATTAAGGACTTTGAAAATTAGATAACGCTCAGGGAATTTAAAAAAAAAAAAAAAAAAACAATTCAGAGAAAGGAAGCACTACGCTCATCTCCTAACCGATCTCCAAGAATGTAAACAGAACACAAACGAAACGGTAACTCAATTTTCACTAAGATTAGAAACGTGCCTATCACAACTATTGACAGAAATCCGTATATCCTGTCATAAAAAAAAACAAAAAAAAATCTGAATTAGCCGGTCGCATTGCAGCGATGGAAGATCTCGCGTTACATATTTTTACAATAAGTTTACATCCAAGGATATCGAGTATGATTCGTAGTAAGAATCCTGATACATTAAATGACGCCGTAAACCTCGCAATATCCGAGGAGAAAATTAACAAACCATATATAACAGTAACCCGTTTAGAGCAAAACCATCCGAATCGAAACCGCATCATACCAATAACAATCCACGAACTTTTAAGCAGTATAATTTTACTAAAACCCAAACAGAACCATTTTGCCGATACTGCAAAAAGGTAGGTCATGTGTTAGAAGATTGCTATATTAGAGATTACAATAATAAAAAATATGGCAAGTATCCCCATCAGTCGACACATAACAAATGTCAGTGTTAACTGTAACTATATTTCTTTTAGCTAGTAAAATATCTTTTTTAAAAAGGAATTTTTAAATATCCGTATAACAGAGAGTTTCATTACAGTTAGAACAGAGAAATAGGATAACTTATGTCTAAGCGTAATTAGCGACATTACGTTAGAGGGCGCCACTAAAAAAAAAAAAAAAAAAAA